AATGATGTGCATCTATCAATGTAAGTGGATTTCCTTTTAGTTGTACAGTATAAGGTATCACTTCTGTTTGTAGTGGATCTGGATATTTCCATTAATTTGCAATAACAGAAACACAACTGTTTTTGAATAATGCAACTATTTCTAGAAAGTGGTTATATATTTTCAACATATCTTTCCCCTCCCCACCACTTTTTAACAAATGAGGAAAGGAAATGACAAATAATAGGTAATTTTTGCAAAGTTCCACATTTGTAGAAGAGCAAGATCTAGAAGCCAAGTCTTCCAGTCCCTAGTGCAGTGCTATTAGAATTTCTCTACCTTGCTTTTATGACCTATCTGCCAGAGAGATCTGGTCTTCAGATCATCCAGCATGTGGTCTTCTCTTCACATATATAAAAAGTTGTTCTGGACATACCACATTTTCAAAGCTTCTCATATAGCTGTATCTGCTGATCCAACTCTGCCCTGGAACTATAGATGATATCCTGCATACTTCCTCAAAGGATCACTTGGTAATTAGGAATCTCTGATTATAGTGTCTCAAATTAATCTTTAATTATTACATATTCATATGTACTATTTATTCATTCAAAGCATTGAGTCATAGAGTCATCAAAAGTTATGGGTACATAGTAGTTGATCAATTAATAATTATTGGTTCACTAATGTATCTGCATTGTTAAGTAATCACCACATCTTATAGAAAGAAAATACTTTGGGTAATATACTCTGTGTTTTTCTACAAACCCAGTTTTCTATAAAAGATAAGCAAGATATGAAGGAGAAGTTAGTGCTATGAGGTGTACTTTAGGTCCCTTAAATGGTTTTCATTCCATGTGGCATTTCAAACTGTCTTTTCTTTAATCAAGGCAAATGGCCTAGTTTTTATTCTTGTAGATGTTTTCCTGATGGGATGTTTGTCATTGAACAATGTATTGTGTTTAGCTTATTTAAGCAATGAGTGTAGTTTTAAGAGAGATAAAAGAGGGGAAACAACAAAGGGAAACATTTAAAAAGAGTGCCCATATCCCCTAAATAACTCTCAAAATCTCCCTTTGGTGAGAATTATGCAATCAACCAACATATTTTAAAATTTTATCCAGTTCATATGGCATAATGTCATTTTCCCTTATATTACATTTGAAAAACCAGCCTCTATCTCAGAGCAAAGCCTGTCCAAGGAAGGGACATGGTCTTTTTCCTTGGAAAGACCCACAGAGCACTCCTAGGCACATTCCCACCCTGCTAAGTTGTTTATCTACAAATAACAGGAGAGATCTGCTGCGCCAGGTGTCCCTGACTCTGTCAAGCTAGGTGGGGATCCATAGCAGCCCCCTAGCAGCCACCAATCAGCATGAGACAGGGAAATACCTGGGATGCCAGATAACCCTCCCAGTAGTTTATGGTGGTTGATAACATGTTGGGAAACCATGTAGTTCAGCACGTACACCCCTCATGGCTTAAACCAATCAGTTCAAATGAATACCCCTTTTGTACTGACCAATCACCCCTACCCAACTTGTTTCCGCCAGTGAATGTGCTAATCATGTTTTAGAGTTGTTATTTGATTTTCCCGCGGTGTGTGATGATTTGCTAAGAGATGCTATGATGTATGTGAAGTCCCTGCCTTCTCCAAAGACTGTATAAAACTGCTGCAAACCCTGGGCTCAGGGCCTCTCAGCATCACCAGTTGTTGTGTGTGCGTGCGGAGGACCAAGCTAGCTTGCAATAAACACCTCTTTGCTGCTTACATCGATCTTGGGTCTCTGGTAGTCTTTGGGGGTCCCGAATCCGAGCATAACACATTATGTTTATGAAAAATTCTAGTTAAATTTCTGACTTCCAATTCCTATGAACTTAATGAAATGAAATTTTAGCATTCTTAGGAGGCGAAATTAAAGTCAGATAACATGGAGAAACAGGCTGATCACTATTATTGAGTGATGAGCAGTCATCATCATGATGAGTAGAGAAAACAGAGCTGACATTTCCCATCTCTGCTAGATATATACCATTATCATTGTCTTAGTCATTTGGGCTGCTCTAACAAAATACCATAAACTGGGTGGCTTTTATACAAAATTTATTCTTAATATTGGTAAAGATGGCACCCGGAGTGCTTCTCTTCCCGGAGCTCAGGAATATTGGTAAAGATGGCCCCCAGAGCGCTTCTCTTCCAGGAACTGAGATCCATGGTGCACTGAATGGCGCACTGAATGGTGCATGAACCATCACTTCCAATCCCTGTGAATGGCGCAAACTCTCAGCCAATGGAGAAGTAACAGCCTACTCGCCTTGCTCCTCCTCATCCTGTGTTAAGCCCATAAATATCAACACCCTGTTTGTGTTCCCTCTCTTACTCTCTTATTCTCCTCCTCTGTTCTTTCTCTCCCTCTTACTCCCCTCTCCTCTCTCTCTTCCCCCTTTCCTCTCTCTCTTCCCCCTCTCTCTTCTCTTCTCTTCTCTTCTCTTCTCTTCTCTTCTCTTCTCTTCTCTTCTCTTCTCTTCTCTTCACTCTCTCTCTCTCTCTCTCTCTCTCTCTCTCTCTCTCTCTCTCTC